CTTTCGATTATAAGAAATCTGATAACTTCGCAATAAAGAGTTAATTTATACGGAAATAATTTTGAAATTAAATCATGTCAGGATATGTCGCATAGTTGCCTTTCACATCCTCTTCTATTTGTCTCTTTTCTCATCGAGCTATTGAGTTACATATTCACACTTCTTCTAATAGTTTTCTTTTTCTAATCTAATTTTTGTCTTGTTATTAAAAAAATTACACTATGTTTAGAAGTTGAATGAGTAAAATAGATGCGTATATCACAGCATCCTGACACCCTACGTGGAAGATGTTGTTGTTTGGACGACTCTTTTCTCATGATTCTGACAAATTTCATGAACCATGCATATAATCTTCTGTAGTTTTTATTTAAGTAATTTTTTTGTTTCCAATGAAATAAAATAAAAGAAGATTTGAGATTTATTTTCTTACTCGTCTTCTTTCTTCGTCGATTGTAAAAAAAATATTCTGTATTTTTTTAATAAAAACCAATATTCTCTCAATTGACTAAATTTGTTCATCATCTAAATCTGATAAAGCTTCTTTTTTTTTTTTTTAAATGAATATCTCAAAAAATTCTAATCATGAAATTAAGAAAGAATATCTTGATTTTTAATTATTATTGAAAGTTAAATATTAAAATTATGAAATACTCATTAATAAAGACAGAAAATTTCTTCTCGGTTTTCCTATTATGAAAAACAAAAAAAAATATGTGCATAAATTCTTGCTTTTTGAACGTTTCATGCTTCTCATTAATGATGATTATTTATTTAACATGTCAAAATTAAGTACCTGCCTTTATTTTTCTTACTCTAGATTATAATTCTTTTTTTTTTTTTAAAAAGATTTATTATATGACCTTAAAACATAAAAATTATATCATAGTTGATTTCTTTCATTTTACCTATTATCTACTTTGACAGATAATTAAACTATGAAAAAAGATCTTTCCTTGAAAATAGCATGTTTCGTTTTTTTTTTTTTTTTGATTTGGAAAATATAAGACAGAATGACTTCATTATTCTTGTTGATTTTAGTGGAAAAAAGAATACTTGTCAATCAATACATGATGAAACCTCGTAATGTATATTATAATTATATTTTCTTTGTCATAAAAGATAAAAGGATGCATTTTTTTAATTCTCTTTTTCTTTTAAGAAAAAAAAATGACTCTTCTATTATTTTCTCTATTCTTTTCTGTTGAGAAATAATTTATCAATGATAATATAAAATCTTACACTCTAGAATAAATAAATATGTTTCATCAAAAAGAGTAAGTAATAAGTAATTTCAATAAAAAAATTGATGTAGAATTAAAAATACGGAATTGAAAAGTGTTTTTATTGTTGATAAAAAGTTTCCTTAGTAAAAATCATTGGAAATATTGAATGATATTTAATTTTATATTTTTAATTATAAGTAGATTTCTATGAGGTAAAACAAATGTATAACTAGTTTTTGATTTATAATCTGTTTTTCATGATATATGATATTCTAAATTTATATCTAGTAAGTACCGAATTATTTGAGATAGATTTTATACTTAGAATTTGAAAGCTTTATTTAGATTAAAGAAAAAATAGCATTTCCCATAAAATATATTAAATCTAAATCCATCTCATACTTTATATATTCTTATGCTGACATATTTGTTATCAAAGTTAAAAAGTAAAATTATATTTTGATAATTCATTTTCTTAATGGTTAGCTAAAATTTTCTTGCTTTTTAGTGTTTTAGAAGAATTTTTTGGTATATCATCGATGGATATAATGGAAAATATTACTAGTTCTTATCCTTTATGGTATTTTGTAAATGATTCACTTATGATTATTGGTAATGTTATTGGTATAGTTGTTGCATTTATTTTTATATTTACAATCATTCGTCTTGACCATCCATCTTATTCAATTTCAAATTTAATTGTATGTAATACTTGTTTAGCTATAGGATTAACTAGTACAATTATGTTAATAAATGCTTGTTATGCATTAAAAAATGATTTTCGTGGAATTAGTCATTCAGATTCATTTTGTATTTTACGTGGCACACTTTTAACTTTATTTTATATATATATGTATACATCATTTTGTTTAAAAGCATTTAATCGACTTCGATGTATTGTTTTTCATACACATTCAATATTAACATCATATCGATGTTTATTGATTGTTATTGTATTTCAATGGTTAATAACAATATTATTATTTTTAGCAATAATATTAACAGATGGAATTGATTATGATTCAGGATCACATTTATGTTTTATACCAATAACAAAAACAAATCAATTTATATTTATGAGTATGTATTTAAAAAAAATATTTCAGTTGTTTTTTTTTCTTTTGATTGATTTATATTTAATATAAAATCATATTTAGTGATTATTTACTATATTTGTATGTTATTCGTATTAAGTGTTTATATGTATATTCTTTATTATGTTTTACATCTACCATTATTAGAACGTTATCGTCGAAAGCGTCAATTAGCACTTCTTCGACGAATTCTTGTTCTTCTTATAATGCTTATTATACCTGGTTTGTTATCATCGTTTTTACTTTTTCATTGGATTTTCTTTGGTACAATTCCATCGTATTCATTTAAAATAAGTACTTTATTCGATACATTTGGACATACTGGTGCAGTTATAACAATATTTGTATCTCATTCAAAAATTCGCCGTCAATATTATAGACGAAAAACAATTCAAATTAATAAAGTAATAAAAAAAGTCCAATTAGACAATTTTGAATTAGTTTCATTAAAAGTTCGACGAAATTCAAAACAATAAAAATTGCATATATTTAATAATAATGCTCAAAAAAAAAAAAATAAATAAATAAAGTTTCGTTTTCATATATGTTTTCTTTTTTTTTTTTTTTTTTTTTTTTGTTTTTTGTTGCTTATGTACTTCAAACTATAAATTTATCCTGTTGTAAACATGTTAATTTGACATTAAATATATTTTTTTCTTTTTCTTCTTCTTCTTATAGTAAAAATGAGAGGAGGTTATAATTAAATACACTTGCATTAATTTATCAATCAAATATTTAGATATGCATGTCTAGTTAGATAACATCATTTTCTTTGAATTACATCGATCATAAATGGACTTGTTCACAACTTGATAAATATTACTAAGAATACTTGTCATATAAATCAAGGATAACAAAATAAACTTATGCGTAGGTTATATCATGTCATCAATCTTGTTAACTAATATGAAAAGAGAAAATACATTGTCGTTTTTATAGTATGTTGATTATTTATTTTGACGAGTAATTTCCAACATAATATAACTTACATATGTTTAATAACAGAATTAATAATTAAATTCTAATATTTTGTCTTTTATTATCAAAATAAAAAAAAAAAAGGAAGTATTAATCAGAACATCTTTTTTTTTTTTCATATAATATCTTTATTCATCATGATAACATTGCTTAATAGCTTGAAGGTATTCGATCGGTGAATAATATAGAAAAATGTATGAAAAAAAAACAAGGTAATAGAGATATAATTCAATGAACATTGGACAATGTCAAAAGAAAAAAAAAACCATTTTTCATCCGGATCAGAAACATTTCTGACAGGTTATCATTTGTATATTTAGGCATATTAATGCAAATGAAGTAAAAATGCTTTACTTCTTCATTTACTTTTTATATTATTTTATACTAAACTAATATTGATATTTTTGCAGCTATATATACAGGCAACCCAGCATTTGCATGTCGCTGTATCCTTGCTCTTTTGCGTTTCGACAAGTTCTAGTTCTTTTTTTCCTCTACTACTTTTGTACATCAACATGATAAGTAACAATTCCTCTTACTATTTATTCCTTTTTTTTTTTTTTTTATCTTCCTTGTTTTTTGCCCTGACAATTGTCGTGTGAGTATAACTTATCAACAGTAGAAGTTCTTCTTCTTCTTCATACATAGACAATGGTAGTATAAGTAAAAAGAAAAAGGCAGACAAGCGACAAGAGATAGGGACACCCCCTCATTTTTATGTGTTGTCTTATTTTGCAAATATTTTGGATGATATTGTAGATGTACGACTTTCGTTCTTTCTCTCTCTGTCTCGTTGTCTTCCTTTCTCTTCCTTATGTCGTCAAAATCCCATCTACACTTTATTTAATATCACTACGTGTCATTCGTTGTATCATAAGGGTAGTGATAATATTTGCGATGATGAGGATCAAAATGATTTGTTTCGTCTTATCAAATTTAATATAATTTATACACCCTCGATGTATTAATAAAAAAAAAAAGAAATTAATGTCGACATAGAAAGATGTTGTAACCTGCGTGCAGGTGAGACATGTGCGTTTTTCTTTTCAAACAACTGTATATACCTCTTCGTCTTTTTTTTTCAATTTTTATTCAATAGTTCTTTCTTTTTTTAATTTCTTGTATATTATTATTTTCAACAAATAGAGATGCTGATTTTTAATCTAGAAGAAGTAAATTAAATAAGAGAAAAAAAAAAAAAAAAAAAGAAAGATTAAATATATTTATCATTGATATATCAATAAATTTTAGCCAGAGACAAAAAAAAACTGAGTAAACTCAAAAAACTTACGAAAAAAATATCATTTTTAAATCTACCTATTTTTAGTTTCTTTTACAATGATATTTGTGTTTTCCGCATCAAATGAATGTTTATAATAAGAAAAGAAAAAAGAAAAGAAAAAAAGAATTTGATTGAAATATTTTTTAGAGCTTCAATATTAAAATCAAATTCGTTTTTTTTTTTTCTTCATCTTATTATTTTTTTCTCACTGACTATACAATATTGAAAGAACAACGTCTGTTGTGTTGTCGACAAAAACACATACCTATTATATGCACTATTTCAGAGAATCATCATTAACATCTGTAATGCTCGTCGTCGTCGTCGATGCTTTACCATGTTATTCGTCGTCCTCCAAATAATAATACAAATTTTTCAAACAAATCTACAAGTAGCTATAAAAGTAGATCATTTTTAAAATTAATGCCACGTTATCAATACTCAAGAATTGCTCCGCATAGTGCAACAACAAGTTCAGAATCCTTTTTTCAACGTCAAAATTCAAATGGACAATCGTCAAAGCCTATAGTTACAGCGACGACGACGAGCAATAACAATAATCATACCTATTCGTCTGGTCTTTTTAAATCAACATTCATTCCTCTTGTTACAAATACTCGAATAATGACACCACACAAGCGTGAATTTATTCAAATTCCAGTGACAAGAGAGGATGGAACATCAACTTTAAATAATACTTTTCATTCTATACCAGTTACTTTTATTAGTGAAACAACTACATTATCATCTACAACCAATGATAATAATAGAAATACAAGTGCTAAACTAAATTATACTAGTTAGTATTGATAACATTTTGATAGACTCATCAATTATTTTTCTTTTCTTTATTATTAATTAATTTGTTTTCTTAAAAGATCTTTTACGCCCTAACTCAAGACATTCACAGCATCATCCTAATAATAATAATGAAGAATCGGAAACTACTGTGCCTCGTTTACCGTCTGTTTCACGTCGTTTCAATCTTACAATACCAGTAATGACAACAACAACAACAACAACAACAGCAGCAGCAGCAGTAGCAACAGCAACAACAACAAATGATGATGATGATGATGATAATACAAGCAAACAAAATATGTCACCATCTTCTACTCGTCGTGTTCCTATTCGTTTTGCACCGACACCAAATGTTGCATCCATACCGACAAATAGTTCTCGTATATCGAGTGCTATTCTTCGTTCATCACCATTATCAAATCCATTGAATAATCAATTACAACGTCAAAAAACTGATTTAATAGATACATCATCACCATCAGATTTAAATGGTATAATATCGAACATGTCACCTGTACGTCGAGCTGAAGTTATGGCTCGTGAAGCTATTCAAGGTATTGTTCGTTTTCAACAACAACAACAACAACAACAACAACAACCAAATAGTTCAATAATTGATAACAATAATAATATATTAATTCGATCGCCTACATTATCACGTCGTGTTATTGTCAATTTAAAAAATAATCAATCTGTTTCACTTGATAGTCGTTTATTATCGGCACATACATCATCAACAAAGACACCATTAGTTCCTTCCTCTTCACGTCTAATACAACGAAATAATCTTTATCATATACCTATTTTACATGAAATTCAAATGCCATCACATCCAACAACAATAGTAGCTGAAACATCGCTACATTTATCACAAACTCCTTCGACTAGTAATAATAATAATAACAATTATAAAAATGAATTTCATATGGAAATTCCAGTTACAATTATTACTAGAGATCATCAGGAGAATCGTGTAAAACTTAATGATGGACAAGAAGATGGAATCATAAATTATGATCAAACAACGATTATTAATGAATGTATTCCATCTCCAACTATAAATTCAAATCAAACGCTCAAATCTATTTTAAAAAGATCTTCATCACGAGAAACTGTTTCAAGAAAAAATGTTAGTTTTATGAATGCTTAATAGGTTGTATGCATACCTTTACATAAAACACAAAGAAAAAAAAAAAGTATACATATTTATTTTTTATTGTACTTCACTTCTTTTTTTTTTTCCTTTTTCTTTCAATCAAAACTGCCTTCGTACTTATTTTTATTTCTTTTGTTTTTTTGCTTTTTTTTTTCTCTTGTTTTGATACACTAAAGATGCTGCATATTGTGTCTATTGAATAATAAGAAAAAAAACACAAATAGAACTGATAACATTATATATCTATAAGATCAATGAGTACAGTCAACATTACATTTTAGCTAAACGAACGACATTTGTGAGTCTGTTGTGTGTATGTCGATCATTCGTCCGTATCTTTATTTCTTCACTATTTCAAGTTTAAAAAGTACTGATGTTGATGCCGCTGTCCGTTGTGCTCTTCGATTACCAACTGATAAGAGTTGGTAAATGGTAGTTTCTTTTTTAAATTCGAATGTAGCATATACACACATTGTGCTTCTTTAATTGGAAGAAGTGCATGTGTTGTGAAAAGAATGAATATACAATCTGGCCAAAAGACAGACCTCATTCAGTCATTCGGGTAAGTTCGACTCTTTTCTTTCTCCCTTGATGATCGATGTATCGATAAGATAACGAACGACGACGTTGCAATTTCGCGGCGTCGTCGGCAATAGCCAGAGAATGAGGGAGAGAGAGAGAGAGAGAGAGAAAACGTTTTTTATGGATATGTGCAAGGCTTATCTCTTCTCCGCGTGTAAGCGAATGGCAAAAAACATCACCAACATCGGCACGGTGATTTAACCTGTTCTCTCTCGTCTCTCTTTTCCTCAGTATATGTGCTGACTTCAATCACAGACTCACTTATCTCACCAGTGTAAGAAGAAACAGGTACTATTTAGAAAAATAGTTTCAATGTAATAAATTGATTTCTTCATTTATGCCTATATAAATGATAGGTAATATGTATATATATATATACATATTTATAAATGTATATCGATAACATACATATTTATTCTTTCTTCCTTTTCACGTTTCTCAATTATCATCATCACATCACCAGTGCTCCTCAATTTAGTCAAAAAATCAATATTATAAATCTAAATATGCTATTAATCAGATATGTATCCAAATGATGACAAGCCAAGAGATACAAGAAAGTATTGAAGCAATATCTAACTATAATTTTGAATCACTCATTCGCATCTTACTTACTCAGTCAGTCTCGCTAGTTGGTCTTCTTATCAGTGCCTAATCTTTGTGCACGCCGCCTATCTACGTGCTCTCGCTCCCTCACACACTCTATGAAAGCGTATCTAAATATTATCTATAGTGAAATAAAGAAAGAGAGAGAGAGAGAGGGAGAGAAAGAAGAGTTGAAAGAGACGACGATGGTGATGACGGGACGGGACGTCAAAGATTAGAAGATCGAATTCTCTTTCTTCTCTTTTCGATATATATATATTGAACTTTTTTTTTTTTTTTCTTCTTCTCTATGTCTTCTCAATGTTCCGTAATGGTCAATTTGCGCTTATCGGTTAAGAGAAAAGAGCGCGAGAGAGAGAGAGAGAAATACGATTATCATCGATTAGATCGCATATATGTATATACATGTATGTGCATCCTTCTCGTTTGCTTTTTTCTTCTTCAGACATATACATATATGCATAGACACTCAATGGCCATGTCCCGTCGTAAGCAACTTCATCCGAAGTCATTGAAAGGTACATTAAAAAGAAAAAAAAAATTGTTTTTTTTTGTTTTATTTTTTTTTGTATGTGATATTTTAAAGAAGGTGATGAAATAATGTTTGTTCTACCCGATGAATTGAAGTGTGATGAAGAAGTAAGTTTAAAGAATGTAAACAAAGCGAAGCAAAAATAAATTTATTTTATTTTGTTCTTGTTTTTTTTTTTTGTTTTTTTGAAAATCATAGTCACATGATATTATAGCTCGAATTGATATTGAACAAGGACATCGTTTTGGTCCATTTCCAGCTACTCTAGTTTCTTGTCAACAACAACAACAACAGCAATTGTCATCCGGTTCAGATTCAACGAATGTTAGTTGTATGATCATGCAAGTACGTTCTTATTTCACATTTTATGACAGTAAGATAAGGTTTGCTCTCTCTCTCTCTCTCTCCTCTCTCTTCCTCCTTCTCATTCAATCCTGCTGTCGTTGCATTCTTGGTGCTGTAAGATAAGACTCAACGACGGCATCATAGAAGGTTTCTCTGTTAGATTATATTTGTTGCTACCGTTTTTAGTCGAGTTATCTATCTCATCGTTTTTGCTCTTATCATCGTCAAAGCACATATTCATGTTCGCTATGTGTGCGTGTGCATACAAAGGATTGAAAGATGGCTGATAGAACAACGACGATGAGGACATTGAAGAAATGAGAATGACACGAGCGATCTATGATAGCTCGTTGTTGTCGTTGTCTTATCGGCCATTCCAATCCGATGGTCGCGCGTGCGGGCACGCATGGAAGTATGGTTATCTTGAGTTTTTTTTTTTTTTTTTCTTTTTTTATATATATGTGTCGAGAGATGATAGGATGGCAGTGACGAAAGAGGGAAAAAAGAGAAAGAGAGAAAGATTGGACTAATCTTATCTTTAGGAATGACCGAATCTAAAAAGAAAAAAAGATTAATATGACAATTCATTTTTCTTTTCATTCTTTATTATTATTATTATTATAGATTGATAATGAAATTCATGAACACCGTATACAATCTTTTCAATTACTTGATAATAAACATAATTGGCTAGCTAGATGTTCAACATCAAATAATTCTTCATCGAATCTCGATATAAATTTTCAAAGTAATTAATTAATTAATTAATTTTTTGATATATAAAAAAAAAAAATTATTTAGATGATCAAATATATGCAATTTTAACTCAATCTATAAAAATTGGTACACGTCTTTCTTCAAATATTATAATTCTTCCAAAATTAACTCATACTGAAGATTCTCAAGTAAAACAAGAACCAAAATTAAATATGACTAATAATAATAATAATAATAATATTAAAGTAAAAGAAGAACCTATCGAATCTGAAGATGAACAACAACAAATTGATCTTTCTTCTCCAAATATTAAATCAGAATCATCTGTGGTCAATACTAATACATCAAAAACCAAAGAAACAAAAAAAATTTATCGTAAATTTTGCTTCTTTTTTTTGTTAAATAAATTCAATTTTTAATTCTTATTTTAGCTCTTCTTTTCACATGTGATGATTGTGGTATTCGTTATAGTAATCGAAATACATTAGATGCTCATCGACAGCATTATTGTACCAAACGAGAAACTACAAAAAATCATTCAGCAGGTAAATCGATAAAGATAATGTAATCTCTAACGAAAAAAAAAGAAAAAGGTCATTGATTGCCATAAAAAAAAAAGAAATGTTTTATAGATTCAACAATGACTGTTAAAATAAAGGGCATGAAACGCAAACATATTGATATAAATGATTCATCACCATCACCAACAAAACGTTTATCATTATCATTAACTGATGCTTATTGTTCAGAATGTGATATTTTATTTTCAAAACCAGATAATCTTTTACAACATAAATTACATTATTGTGGTACAAAATCGTCATCATCATCATCGTCATCATCATCATCATCATCATCATCATTACGTCAAATAAATGAAAATATATCAAATTCATTTCGACCACCTATTCCATTTGATCGTCCAATACAAATAGGACAATTTATATATGTACCTGTACCAATTGTTCCATCACAAATTGAAAATAATGAACGATCATTATCACCTAATAATGATAATAAACCACTTGATTTAAGTAAGCCTAAAAAACAAATTGATGAACATGAACAACAACAACAACAACAACGACAAATAACAATGACTACATCAACTTCACCATTAGATTTAACTATTGAAAAATCATCAAATTTATTTAATATACTTAATAATACATCATCAACAAAAACAAAATCAACACATCATGTTCAACAACAAATATATGAATGTGATTATTGTTCAATACGTTTTAGTTCATTAAAAACTTTACATGCACATCAAGAAAATTATTGTATTGAATATAGAAAACAAAAGAAAAATGGAAATAATAATTCATTAATAAATACATCTACAAATGAAACAAAAACACTAAATAATGATTCTAATCGGTAAGTATAAAACAGAGATTAAATCATTATTATTCATACAAAAGACAATACAACAGCAAATGAAAGAAGCACAAACTTTACGTCGTTTCTTCTTACAGAGATATTTCGTTTACCTTTCCAGGCTTTCTCGAAAACGGGTTCTATGAAATTTGATACCAAATAGATTTCAATAAGTCGAGCGAAAATTATGATAGACTGAAAATTCCCAGATGCGCTACCTTCAGGAAGATTTGAAGATCGCAACGGTCAAAATTTCCACCTGCAAAACTCTATACTTCATTCGTTCAAGTTGCAATCTTTTTTATGACAACTAGGATCAAATTGGAATGTGTGTTTTTTTTTCTTTCAGGCTAAAAGTACTCACAAAAAAAATTTTGAGCCCGATTGGAAGTACCATGTAGGAAAAAAACTTCGTTTTCTTTTTCGTTCAAAACTTAATCTTGAGAAAAACGCAAAACAAACTTTCCTGTATGTATCAGGACGTTTTTTTTTCTTCAACTAAAGTGATCGAAAACTGGTCATGTTAGAAGTCAATGATGTATGTTCCCAACACCTATAGAAATTATCATTAGGAGAATTAATCACAACGTGAGTTTTTCTACTAGGAATTTCGAGAATTAGGTTTTGATAAAAGTATTAACTAACAATGGAGAGTCCTCTTTTATATGGCATTTGACAGACGATTAGAGCCCGTCGGGTCCAAGATTTTTGGACCCGGACCCGCTTGTTTAAAAAATGTTGGACCCGGTCGCTTAAATTTTTTGGATCCAAGCACGATGATAAATCAGTTTCGATAATATATTCAAAAAGTGTTTGTTATTTTTTATCTATTTTCTAAATACATTCAATTGTTTTTTCTTCATAAAACGAACAAAATTTTGAAAAAATTCACAATACATTGTATGCAGCAAAATTTTCAGATCCGGAACCCCATCCGGACCCGGCCAAAACGAAATTTTTAGACCCGGACCCGAGCGGATACGGGTCCGAGTCCTACCTGACGGACTCTCCAGAGGACACTTCGAAGTTATATTAGCGATGAGAAACCAAAAATCGAAAAAATTTTGATTTCAACATTGGGAAGGAGCGAGTGCTCTTAAGAAGACAAAAAATAGTAAAACTATTCTATATATCTTTCGAATGCAGACTAAAGCTCAAGCAAATGTCTATCATTGATGGGTTAAGAAAACTTAGTTTTTTATAGATATTTTCTATATCTCTATCTATAAGTGTTATTTTTCTTCGTGTCAATTTAAATAGGACGAAAAATGTTGTAGAATGAAGTCATCCATGACTTTAATATTTTAAAATATACATTCGAAAAAATAGAAAAATGTTATCCTATTTTAAAAATTTCCCATAAGGATTTTATTTATACATCGAAGTGAAAGTCGATACATATATTACCGACAACTGGAATATTTCAAAAATGTTTTTTAGATATCGATTGACTTACATTTCTAGTTAATTCAAATGGAGAAAAAATTAATTTGAAAAATTTCAAATCTATGAAATCTACCTAGTTTTTGACTTAATGAATTCCGAACTATTAGAGAGTTTTTACATGAAGTTCATTTATTGTTTTCCTCGAAGTCACTATGACTAAGTAACTATATAGGTGAATACGTGTATCTACAAGGTACTATATTCAAACCTTACTACCATCAATCATAAAATGACTCTAGCCAAGTCACTAACAACTGTTGATCATCCGCCTGATAGCCTGCTGGCTACATTGTAACATACATCTACTTCAAATGATTAGATAGTACGTATGAGAAGCTCAAGAACTCTATGTCAGGTTGATCTTTTGTCTAGAATTACAGCTCGTATTAGTTGTAGAAGGGATATCGACCTATTGAATCTACTAGAAGGTAGCCGAAAGGCAAGGATTTTCTTCCTTCTTCTTTGTTTGTCTGTATTACATTAATTCTTATTATAAAATTTAAATAGATCCCAATCTCCTCCAACATCATTAACAATATCAAGAACTGGTCCATTATCTCCAAATGATTCTATAAATTCATCTTATCTACCACCTCATCGTTCATCTCCATTTATGTGTCGTCTATGCAAATATCGTGGTAATACTCTACGTGGAATGCGTATGCATTTTAAATTTCATTTATCTAATAATGAACCATGTTCAGATGATGATATTATAATGACATCAACAATAAATAATTCTTTATCTATTCCATCAACTCAATTATTACTTAAATGTACAATATGTTCAGCTATGTTTGATCATGAAGATACATTAATAAATCATATAAAATGTGTACATACAAAAGAAAGTTTACTTGAATGTTTAGAATGTCAATCAAGATTTTGTTCAAAATGGAATTTACTTCGTCATATGAAATTAACACATACAAATATTAAATGTGATGAAGAAGAACAACAAGATGATAATAATGAACATATGATATCAAATGATTCTCATTTTATAATTAATGGATCAAATAATGAACAAAAATTGGATGATGATCGAGAGTATGTTTGATATTAAAAAGAAAAGCAAAAAAAAAAAAATGTTTTTTTTTTCTAGTCTTTCTTCTTCTCCTTTGTCTTCTACTACTAATGATAAATCATCATCTACTGATCCAATGAATCTCACACGTAATGTTCTTATTGAATCAATGGATATAAATTCAATAAAAAAAAATTCCGATGGATATTTAATGAAAAAAAAATTTGCTTGTCCTTATTGTCATATAAAATTTGGTAGTATTGATACATTAAAACAACATATGACGAATTATTGTTCATCTCGACCAACAAATGATGAACAAACAAATAATAAAAAGAAAACTAATGATACATTTTGTTCAACATGTCAAATTCCATTTCGACATAAAAGTTCATATGATGCACATAAAATGTATTATTGTCGAGGTAATAATAAAGCACATGTTAAGATGCAAGCTTAATTATTATTCTTTATTTGTATTATTGTAGTCTCGTGTTTTGTTTCTGTCTTTTCTTTTCTTTTTTTTATTTTTCATTGCTCTTTTTTTTTTTTCTTTCTTTTGTATTTCATATATTTGTCTTGCTTTCAATGTTTATCTTTTCTTTCTTTTTTTTTTTTTTTTTTTTTTCATTTTTCAAGTAACTAAAATCGACAAACAAGATATGTTTAAGAAATATTTTCAAAAATCATATAATTTTTAAAATGAAACATGTGCTATTTTATCTATAAAAAAGAAGAAAATCGAAATGATTGAGTTAATTTCAGAACTGATTTGTATTCAGTATTGAGTCTGAATAGAGAAGAGCTGATGTCAATATACTGAAGTATAGTATTTCGACTACGATTCAATTTTAGCTTGTCTATTTTTTAACAGGAGTTAATAACTAGCTGAAATATTGGTCATGTACATAGAGAATGCCAGATATTCATGAAAAATAAATTCAAATATGCACCCAATTAGGTCAGATTCTGAGTCAACAAAAAAAAAACATAGATCCGCAGCTCTCTAGTGCTTGATACAGTGAAAGGAGTTCTTTTTTTTTCTTTCGTATTTGAGTCCTGAAGAGTCTGAAATTTTTGATGATAATTTATCATTAAATACAATGAGCTTTATTGAACTCCGTATTCTATTCAGATTATCTCTTTCGAAAGAGTAATTTAAAACTCCGGGAAAGCCAACCTGATCTTCAAAGAGATGCCGTCAAACACTGGTTGAAATATTCACATAATTGAGTATTATTCATGGGAGAAAAAATTTCGAATCTCGATAGGTTAGAGTAAGAAAGTAAAATTAAGATAAAATATGACGTCCAACGATCAGAGATATTTCTTCATCAATTCTATTAGTTTTAATATTTTAATGAAAAGATTTTAAGTAAACATATAACTGTATGGTTTTAAAATTAAAGTTTTGATTAGATACTCATTCTTATCTATGATATTCTAAATCACTCTTTCATGAAATTTCAATTGAAAAAAATTTCGTAAATCGAGTTGTATAAAATATTTTAAACAATCTTTTAAATTGAGTTATTTTTTATTTTCATAATTATTCAAAAGAATTGAAATTGTATAAATAGAAATAGCAGAATACAAGCTCAATTTTTGTAACTAAAATCTTCTAAAAACAAAATATCTATGAAGTAAAATGTTTATTTTATAACAAACTTCATATGAACTGTTTATCATTTTTATATAATTTGTAATTTTTCGTTCTAAATATCATATTCGAAAGAGTGTCTAATGCTGCATAAAGCGATGAACCAAAGTATATATTAGACTTGCTAAATGAAATATATATATATGTATAGATGACATTGTCCATAAATAGATTATATTATTTTTTTACAATTGATCTTTTTATTCTAATCATTCTTAATATAACATATAAGTTTAAAATAATTATTTCAATAGTAGTTTCGCTTTTTTTTTTCTCATTTGTAACATAAACTACTAACATTAATGTTTTATTAAATTCACATTAGAAAATAAAGAAAAAGAAAAAAAAAGAAAAAGAATACAAAATCAATTTGTTCATATATATTCATTTTTATATACTCTTTTCATTTTCATTATCCTATTGAACTAACGATGGAGAAACGTATTTTAAAGTTTGAATTTGATGTTGGTACAAATCGATCAGAAATTGGACAAACTGGTGAAGAAATTGGTAAAGCAATGGAACTTGTTCAACGTGAACGTGATCGTGATGTTAAAGAAAAAGAAGAATTACGTCATTTAAATGATCGTTTTTCACATTTTCTTGCTAATATTGAACAATTAAAACGTATTAATGAACAATTACAAACACAATTAAAAGATGAATTTTCTAAATGGGGAATATTACCACGTGATGAAAATGAATTACGACAAATAATTAATCAAATTAATGATCGTGCTATAAAACGTGCTACTGATGAAGTACGTTCACGTTCTTGTGAACAAGAAATTATTATAATTAATCGTACAATTGGTTTATATGGAAATATTCAAGATATGTATAAACGTAAACAAGAAAATTTACGACATCTTATTGATAAATTACAAGAAGAATTAAATCGTATGATACAACGTGAACGTGGAAGTGAAGAAGAATTATCAAGTATACGTGATGATTTAATAAAAGAATTAAATAAATTTCGTGAACGTTTACAAGATTGGTTACGTTTAGTTATTGATAAACAAACATTATTAGATGATATACAATCATTACGTGAACGTATTAATTTAATAAATGCATTAAATGATGAAGAAATAAATGAATGGAAACGTCTTTTAGATCAATCAAAAGATGATTCAATGTCATTTTATCGAGAAGAATTAACAAATGCTATACGTGATATTAAACGTGATTATTCTAAACAAGCAAAAAAATTTCAAGATGAACTTGAATATCAAATTGAAGGACAATTACGTATTGTTGAAAATCAACTTAAACAAATGACTGGATTAACAGATAATTCAATACAAGAATCTGATAAACAAAGAATTCAAGTTGAAGAAACAAAATTACGTACAAGCATGGAAGTAAAGAATTATAGATTTCTTTTACAAAAGAAGTCCTTCAATTGATAAATCATTTTTAAATCGAGACTATATGTATTAATGTAGATTCAAATGAGTTATGAATAGCTTGAAATGAGTTCGTATGCTTAGCTTATTGATACAAAGGTGATTTCCGACTTGAAACTTTATATAGACAAATTTCTGACGAGAATAGTTTTTTGTAAAAATTTTAGATCTTATCGCATGTTCCTATCCTAAGATACATCTATGGCAATAGTGTGTCTTTTCATCGCTCATATGAATCCATAGATTTTATGCTTGTATTTAAGAATAGAAGCAAATCAAAGAACCGAAAACTTTCACACTAAACTACTTTCGTTAAGACTTATGTTTCAAGTTAGAATTTAAAAATCGTTTTTTTTTCTGAACCATAGCATTCATTTTAAAACTACCTATCTTCTCCAGAATAAGTCAAGATCGTCAGCTGTTCTCAGAGAAAATCATAGCTGATTTGGATCTATATTATGCATATAGTCTCGAATCAAAAAAAAGAACGATTCTTATTTTCTTAGTCATTTTTTTTTGTTTTGTAGGAATATGATAAAGAACAATTTCAATTAAATAATTTAACAAAAATTTTATCCGATAAACGTCGTTTATTACGTGATGAAGAAACAAAATTACATGAAATTGAACGTAGAATTCGTGATAAACAAATACATGAAAGAACAATAGCTGAAAAACTTAAAAATGAATATGATGATTTACGTGGACGTTTTGAACAAATGGCATATGAATTACGTTTTAGTATTGAAGATGAACTTCGAATTTATTCTCGATTACTTGATGAACTTATGAAAAAATCATCTATAATAAATTCTTCAACAAATCAATCAAATGGAAATTCAATATCAACAATAATTCGTTCAAATGGAATTGAAGATCATAATATATCATCAAATTTTCAACATACAAATAATAATTTAATTACTAATAATACAAATGATATATTAGATTTAGCAAGTAATCATAGTGGATGGCCACATACTATAAATATAAGTGAAAGTACAGAAAATTTATTTAAAATAAATGAAAATGAAATTCAAGAAACCTATGATGGTAATTCAATGATTAGATCATCATCATATTCTAAACTTGATTAAAAAAATATATAAACATTTGAACTTTTTTTTTATATTAATAATTAGTTTCTATGTCGTAGAATTTTTGTCTTTTTTTTATCTTCGTTTATTAAAAATAGAATTTATTCATTACAAATAATATAATCTACCACCAATTTTTCATATCTTGTGTTATTATACCAGCAAATATTCGATTAAATCTTGGTCGATCAAGTATTTTACCAAATTGTATTGAATAATACATTGTATTTATTGTTGAATAACGTTTAAATGGTAAAAATGTTTTATTTGGAGTTTCAATATCATTTATTGGTATAATATCACGTGTATTTAATTCAATATTTTTACGTCGACCCCAAAAATCAACATGAGTTAAAATAACACGATCACATTCAACATTTGTATATATATAACAAATTGTTCGTGTTGCAAGCCAACCAAATAAATAAAGACTAAATGATGCAAGACTTACAAGAAATAATGAAAATTGAAGTTCGAATAATGTTATTAAACCTTCATTGTAATTATAAATTTGATATGGAGCTAAGAGAACACTATAAAATACAACAAAAATATTACATATTATTTGAATTGAAAAGATTTCTTATTTGGAATGTTATGAGAAAACATGCCTATGTGTAAGTTTATTTTCAATTGGAAATTATGTGCGTTGTGTAGAGTCTCCGAATGAACTCTAAATATTCTCAAGAGTTTCTGTTTCTCGCTCATTTCTGTCGAGATATTTGATTTTTATTATATTTTTTAGTGTTACACTATTGCCGCCGTTCAGGATAACTTTCAAAATCGATGTTCAACTTGGAGTTTTGCAAAATGGAAGGTTCTAATAAGACAAATTTATTGATTATTCTTATACTAAAATAACGGGTGGTCCGAAAGTTTTTGCACAAAATGTTTCTTCATTTTTCGACCGATTAAGTATGTCAGTAGAAACTTTCGAACAAAGGGTTAGATTCAGAATTTTATGCTCTTTCAGAATTTATGCTACGAATTTTTGTAGAACTCATAGTTTAAGAGTTATGAGCAAATCTTTGGAAGGTTTAAAAATAAAGTTTGGACAGGTTTCAATGCACAAAAAAACGTCCAAAGTAAACGTAAAATTTATTTCAGATACTCCCAAAGAAAGAGTAAACATTTCTCTACAAAATGATAGCCTGGTCATTAATTTACAATGAGGCTTCTCTGAGTAATGAGAGTTTTAGTAAGAGACACAGAGACGTTTTCGAAACTTCCTGGTTTCCAGACTGTCAAAAAGCGCTTGATTATTTCTGAAAAAATGCTGCGAGATGCTCAGTTCTTAGCTCACTTTGTAAAGAACGGACTCGCCCTTGACGCTGTGTAAAAAATTGATAATAGAAGAAACTCAATAAGGGATAGTTATTGTTGAGAAGGACGTATGTTGTCAAGATGCTAATCTAAAAAATTTCAAAACGCGATGTAATCAATGAAAAGAAACTTGGGCTAAGCTAAACTGGACGTCTTTACGACGGAAATAAGATAGTGCCGAGAAAGGTTGGTGAAAAAGAGCAGAAAATCAATTCCAAAAGATATACGATCACATTTTGGTTCTTTGGATCTGTTAATTCAACTGCTTCCTTCTAAACTTTATTTTTGAGCCTTCCAAAGATTCGCTCATAATTCCTAAACTATGTGTCCTACAAAAATTCAAGGCATAAATTCTGAATCTAATCCATTGTTTGAAAGTTTCTACTGACATACTTAGTCGGTCGAAAAATGAAGAAACATTTTGTGCGGAAACTTTCGAACCACCCGTTTGATTCAATTCATTTAATTGTCTAACGAGTTGATATTAAAAATATAAATTTCAAAGAAAATTTTTACTTACGTTGCTAATGTTTGTGAAAGTTTAAGAATTTGAATATATCTCATAGATCGAAGAAAACCAAAACGATATATTAAATAGAAATCATTAAATAATTTTGATTTAACACCAGTTGGTTCTGGTAAATATGAAGGTAAATTAGCTAAACTAGGTAAATTATTTTCAATAGGAAGAATATCATTTTGTAGTTTTTTATTCAATATTTGATTTTGTTCTTGTTTAAAATCAAAACAAATATTTGTTGTCGAAAAAAATCTATATAGATTTTGTTTATATATTAAACGAAATATTTGTATATTACGAATAAACATTCTTGTCTGAAAAAATTCTTCAAAGATTTTCTATTTAGTATAGATATGTGTTTTTTTTTTTTGTCTTTGTTCTTAATTTTTTTTTTTTGTTTATGCATGGAGATAAATGAATAAACATACAAAGAAAAAGATCCCAAACCAAAAAGTTCAAAAGTTTTTTTTTTTTTTTTTTTTTTTTTATATTATTATTTTGTTATTAGAGTTTAACTTGAAATTGTACAGGATTTGTTGTATTATTCGACGGATGAAAAAGTGCTTGACGGATAAATGCTGGATCAATAGTAATTTTATTTGTAGTATTATTTGTTGAATTTAATTTTAATGGTTGATCAGTAGTTATTGATGAAGAACTAATCGATGTTCTAATTAAAATATGATTCAAAAAAAAATTTTAATTAGATAAACTTTCTTTTCTTTTTTTTACCCATTTTCTTTTGCTGATGGTTGAATATTGTTTGTTATTTTTGAATAAGATGATGATTGTTGAAGACTAACATACATAAATTGTCCATCTAATAAACGATTATGATATTTAGTAACCGCTTGTTCAGCATGTTCACGTTTAGTATAAATAATTTGAACACAACCTTGACTTAATGTTGTTATTTCATTTATACGACCAATTTCACTAAATAATTCCTAAATAAATCGAATTAAATATTATTTAAATAAAACAGATGAAATAACATACAATAACATCTTCTTCTGTAACAGATGGTTGAAGATTTGTGACTAATATTGTTCCCGGTATTGAAATTGATTGTGTTGTTGATATTGGTTTTGACTATAAGATATATAGATGATTTAAAAAAAAAAAAAAAGAAAACTTGCCAGTGTGGAACTGACTGTTATTAATTTATTCTACAAATTTATTAGAATCATTTAATATCGTTAAACTGAAAAAAAAAATTATTTATATTGTCAGAGATATCTTCAATATATAACTTCCTTTCTTCTAATGATAGTGAGTTTTCGCTCGATGAACTATAGCATATACCATTAAGTTATTTTGTCTAAACTTAGAATTCAATTAGTTCATAATTTTCTATGTCTACATCCTAGTCTGACTCTACTAGATCAATAATACCATCACCGTACTCATTGACATCTATAATAAGATCATTTCGCTACATTAGATACTGAAATCCACAATATTTAGACTTATGAGAATCTATAGTAGAAATCAAAGATTCATAGAAAGTTCCAGAATGATCGAAGCACTTCTTCCGGTTGCTAAGGCCAGCGGGAAGTTGTAGAAGCATCGATTTAAACATCTGCTCACTATTTTTTTCGAAAATAAATGTGAATTCCACAAAAAATTACTATAAAAAGAAAGACTTACTACTGTCGAGGTATTAGATGTTATTCTTGAACTGATTGGTACACCTGTTGATGTTCGTTTAACAGAACCTGTAGATGCTACAGTCGATAAACCTTGTTGTTCTTTATCTGCTGTTGTTGTTGTTGTTGTTGTTGTTTTTCGTGTGGACGAAGCTGTACGTTTCACTGGAGGTTCATAAAGATCATCATTAATTGATTGATAACTTATACGATCTTCATCATCTATTGTAGTACTAGTATGACGTCGATGAGAACTCATCCGAATAGGTGATCGAGATGAGGATGATGATGTTGTTTGAATAGAAGCATCATGTAAACGTTTAATCATTGGAGGTGGATGATGTTGCTGGATGGATGGTGATGGTGATGATGATGATGAACTTATTGTGGGTTGTGATGGTTTAGGAATTTTTTGATATTGATCATTAACAAAACTAATAACAACTTTTTGATCAGATAAAGATGAAAGAGTAGTTGTAGTTTGAGAAGAACGAATATCATTTTCAATACGAACAGATGGATTTGTAATTGTCTATACAAAATTTGAATATAGTTTTTTCTTTTAGAAATTAAAATAAAATTACTTTAGTAAAAGAAAATTTTTCCGTTGATTGAGTCGAATTGCTATTTGAATTACTATTATTACGAATAGTAACAAATGTAGATGGTCCAACAGCAAAAATTTTTTTCTTTTTTTCAATTTCAATACTACTGGTTGTTGCTGTTGGAATGAGCTAAAAAAATAGTAAAACAAAAATTCTTGTTGTTTTTTTTTATTTTTATTTTTTTTTTATTTACTCGTCCATCTTTCATTTTCATATCTTTAAGTCCAGTAACAACAACCATTTTTCCATTATTATTATCAATTTCTTGTTTATTTTGTAAAAGATTTTTTCGTACAATTGTATTTGTTAATGTTTTTGATGATTGTCGACTTAATAATTGTCTAGCATCAAATGATGATGATGATGATTGATTTCGATTAATTAATAATTCTCGTGCATCTTGTACTAATGAATTTTTTGTTCCAATTAATTGACGACGATTAATATTATTATTTATTGGAGATGATTTACTACTAAGACGTTTTAATGCACTAATTCGATTATTATTATTACCAGTAGTTTTTGACATTATTTTCATTTACGTTTTTTTTTTTTTCTTATACAAAACAAAAAAGTACAAGATCTGGAATAAAACAAAATAATAAATAAATAAATAGAAATAAAAGAATAAAGTTAAACAATGAAAACATCTCTTCGAGAATACATTTAATCATTTTAAATAAAAAGAATGTGGTGTTCTACAATCAACATCCTCATATGAAAAAAACAAACAAACAAACTTTATTTCTATTTTTATTTATTTTTAATTTACTTATAAAATTCAAAATCTTGTTCATTTTTTTTAACAACATTTTTATAGGCTTTTTCAAAATCTTTTGCCAAAACAATATAACGATTTTCTCGTACAGCTTGCATACCAGCCTAATTTAAAATAAAAATAAATTATTTAATTAAAATAAAAATCTATTTATTATATACTTCTTGACATATTGAATTAATATCAGCACCGGATATATGATCAGGACGTGCAACATAATCTTCTAAATCAACTTCATCACTTAAATTCATTTTACTTGTTACAGTTGAAAAAATTAAACGTTTTTGTCGTCGATCAGGTAAAGGAAATTCTATTTTACGATCTAAACGACCAGGACGAAGAAGAGCTGGATCAAGTGTATCAGCACGATTTGTTGCCATTATAACCTAAATAAAATAATAACAAAAATTTACTACTTTTCAATAAATAAAATTATTACATACTTTAACATTAATACTTTGATCGAAACCATCCATTTGATTAAGTAATTCAAGTAAAATACGTTGAACTTCACGATCAGCTAATAAAATGAAACAAAATCAAAATTTCAAAAGAAATTAAGCAAAAAAAAAATAAATAAATAAACCTCCAGTTTGAGCATCAAAACGTTTTGTAGCAATAGCATCAATTTCATCAATAAATATAATTGCCGGAGAATTTTCTAATATATTTTTCAATAATAATAATTTTATCAATAAATAAATAAAATATTCATACCTTTAGCAAGACGAAATACATCACGTACCATTCGTGGACCTTCACCAAGATATTTTTGAACAAATTCTGAACCAACTACACGAATAAATGAAGCTAAAAGAAAAACAACACAACTTTAATCAATAAAAAAAAAAAATCTTCTAACCAGTTGTATGTCGTGCAACAGCTTTAGCTAACATTGTCTTTCCACAACCTATAAGAATAAAACAAAATTTCGACAAAAAAAGAAAATATTTAAATAAATTACTCACCAGGAGGACCATACATGAGTACACCACGTGGTGGATCAATACCAATTAATTTATATAATTCTATAAAAAACAAAAAGATGAAATAAAAAAAAAAAATTTTTTTTTTTTTATGTCTAAAAAAAATCAAACCGAAATGTGTCAATGGTAATTCAACAGCTTCACGAATTTCTTGTTTTTGTAAATCTAATCCACCAATATCTGTATAATCAACATCCGGTTTTTCATCTATAAGAAAAAAGATTCATATAAAAAAAAAAAAAAATCAAATTTTTCGTATTACCAGCTTGTAACATTGATATACTACTATCGGATTCTGGTGGAAGAATATCAACAAGTGCATTTGAATGTTTATGTAAAGCTACACTAGCACCAGCTTTTAAAAGTTCTCGATCGATAGTTGATAAAATTCGAACATAATAATTTGAACCTAAATAAACAAAAAAAAAAAAATAAGCAACAATGATTTACTTAAAATTATATCAATTTCTATTCATCATTGTGACTTAAATGGAATTTCAATAACCGAGTATTATCTCATAAGTATACCTTTTCCTTCTTAAAAGGTTTGCATGATGAATAAAGATTTAAAAACTTTGCATTTCATACTACTCTAATACACTTTAAACATTACGATAATGTTTTATATTTTCAATTTACTTGTAGGTTATTATTCTTGTGCTGTCAACTAGAAATGTATACGGTTACCCTACCTTGCACCATAGGATAGGATACAAGTAAACACGTTGCGGGACAAGGTAAAGCATATTGTACAATAGGGTAAGGATTAGAAAATTTTCCTTAGTCAGAGTACAGGGTATGGAAAATATTTACCCTGCACATCTCTACTATCAACAAACTATAGAACGATGTATAAGCGAAGATAGTCTGACAATCATTTCTCAAAATGATCGGTATACAAGACTTTAGATCTATAGATAGAAATTTTAGTCAATATTGTTCAATGTATTGATTAATTTTATCAAAACGAAAAACAAAAAAAATATATTTACCAGTAGTCGATCCAACAATACCAGTATTTTGATCAACTGCTTCAAGAAATTGTCCAATAACAAGTGGTACACTTTGAATACGTTTAATTTCTTCTTGTGCATGTAACATTTCTTTTTTTAAATTTTTTAATTCTGTTTTAACATATTCTTCTTGTACTTCTAAAAATTCAAGTTGACGTTGAAGTTTCTAAAATTAAAAAAAAAATTCTTTGTAGAAAAACTTATTATAGATAAATTCAAACCTTATATTTTGTATATAAATCATCACTATCAAGTGATTCATATTGAGATGAAAGAATATAATTTTGATGAAGATTTCGACTAGGATCTTCCTTTTAAAATTAAATATTCATTAATTATTAAAAAAAAAAAACAAACAAAAATAAAAGACAAACTTCTTTCGTTATAACAACTGGAATATCTTCTACTGCTGTAGCCATTTGTATTTTATTTTAAAATCTAAAATAAATTATAAGAAGTTCATAATTAAAGTTAAATGTAATAAAAAAAAAACAAAAAAAACATGAATATGGATCATAAAGTTCATCTTACGATTATTTATTTCAAAATAAGATAAATCAAAAAGAAAAAGATGATTTTTATCAGTTAGAATTTTCATTAAATTCTATTCAAGAAATATTTTTAATATTGTAATAATCAATTCAATGTCATTGATGATACAGATTTTCCTAAAAACAACGATTACTGATCTAAAGGAGTTACTGTCGAAACAAACAATGGCGATTCTTTATTATTAATACTCTATTGGATGAACAGACTCCAATCTTCTTCAATAAAATATTCTATTCGTTATTGAGAAAGACGTAAATAAATTTTCTATTGGTAATTTATTTTGCAAACGCCACAAGCAAAAAATTGATTTATTTATTTTGTCAATCAAGAACTAACGTGATCATCAACGTATCAAACGCGGATTTCCTTACAGTTGTCCTACTCAAACTATATTTTTTCTATCGACGAGGTCGAAACAAATGATTAATAAAAGCTCGTTCTTGATTAAAAGCACAAAATCAAAGACTCATCATTGTATAAAATTCTTAAGCATAGAATTACCACTTGCCAAAAAAGAATGATTAATTGGCATACATCAATAACACACTTGATCAAGATTAAAAACAAATTCATCAGATGATTAATATGCTAGAATAATGAAAACAAAAGAATTAGAACATAACCGTTTACTTCCTAATAGAATAGTTAATAATATTCATATCAGAAGACAATAAAATAGTACGATGCAAAAAGAGTAACAGTAGAAGAGTTGAAGGTAAAAAGAAAAACAAATTTTAAATATTACTATTGTTTTTCATCAATAAGAGTAGATTAACATTAAGTTTACTTTTCTATTGTATTCAAGTAAGTTCCAAAGAGTACACGTCAGGTCCAGGACCAATTCGACAGACTCTAATCTCAAACAGGAAGAATTTCTTTCCATCCTCAACCTTGAAAAATTTTCTTGTTGTTCTGCTTATTTTCTAAAGTTCGTAGTAGAAACTTGTCATCTTACAATTCTTCGCCAAACCGATTAATTCTCGCCCAATCTTAGCCATCTCAGAACATCTCTAACTACATCAATACAAAATATTGATCGTTATCAGATTCATTAAGTATACAATTCTGACTATTAGATATTACTGCACATGATTTTGAAAACAAAATTTAAATTATATGTAATCATGTAAAAACAAACTGAAAAAGAAAATATGAGACATGTATAAGAAGATAAAATGATTATCTATCTTATAATTTTATTGCAATCAGAATTGAGTTTATCTAAGTAATGAAAAAAAACAGTTGATTAACTATACTTGGTTAAGAAAGAAAAGTGCTGCTAGAGAAAAACGGGCAAAGTTTCAAGAAATCAATTCAATTTCAAGGGACATCTATCGAAAATTTCTGTAACATGACAATCAATATAGGTGAAGCATGGATTATGGATTTGAAATTTGACAAAACTTTCATATTCAACATTGTTTTTCATTTCAATATTTTGTTTTCTTTTTAAATAAGAATGTATATAAAATGTCGTCGATGTCTTTCATCATATTCTATTATTTTGATTTTCTTGGTTGTATATCTAATAATAACCGGTTTTATGATTATGTACAGTAAGAAAGTGTCTGATTTATTTTCTTTTTTATCTAACTTTTCTTCTATATTCATTTATATTCGTTTTTTTTTTCAAGTGAGAACTATCGATAAAAAACAAGATATTAAACCATGGGAACAATTATCGAAAATGTATCCAGGTTTAGTTAAACCGATTGAAGAAAGTTGGAATGATCCATTATCAATACGTAAGATTTATATGATTACACCAACAAAAAGACGAGCTGAACAAATAGCTGATTTAACACGACTTGCACAAACACTTTATTTAGTAAGAAAAAAAAAACATTAGTTTTTTTTTTTTTTATCAATTTGATGAATAATTTTAGATTCCAAATCTTGTATGGATTGTTATTGAAGATGAATCTCAATTAACAAGACGTATTCATCGTTTACTTCAATCATTCCATTTACCATTTATTCATTTGAATATTGCAACACCAGATTATTTAAAACCAACACAAAATCAATCAACATGGCGTCGACCACGTGGTATGATTCAAAAAAATATTGGTCTTCAATGGATACGTCAAAATACAAATTCAAATGATGATGCACTTATCTATTTTGCTGATGATGATAATACATATCATTGGAAATTATTTCAAGAGGTAATCTATTGGTTAGTAGATTTATTATAAATATATGATTAAATTATTAAGAATTCTATTTATAGATACGAAAAATTCAATCAGTTGGTGTTTGGCCAGTAGGACTTGTTGGTGAACTTTTATATGAACGTCCAATTTGTTTAAATGGAAAAGTAAGTTCAATATTTGATTGTTTTTTATTTCTTTTTGTTTTTGTAAAATTATATTTAATGATAATAGGTTCATTCATGGTTTCATTATATGTATCGAAAACGAAAATTTCCAACAGATATGGCTGGATTTGCAATTCATTTACGTCTTATTCATCAATATTCAAATTATATATTTAATGTAAGTGCTAATAGTATTGCTGAACAAGAATCTCAAATACTTAATACAATGACAACAATAGATCAACTTGAATGTTTAGCTAATAATGCTTCAAAAGTAATCATTATGTTTTTATATGAAAAATATATGAATAAATTTTTCAATTCTAGATTTATGTTTGGCATACAAAAACTCAATCAATGTTTTTAACATCGATAGAAAAATTACGAAATGCAGGAATGAATTATGATTTAATTAATGAGTTGTGAAATTAATTTTTTAAGATATTGAGTGAATGATAAAATAATTGTGACTTTTTTTTTATTGTTATATATAGTAAATAAAATATTCTTGGTTTTTTTTTTTTTCTGTAATCGTATTTTGAGAATGGCTCATTTAGAAAAGAATAATAAAGAATATTCAATGCAGAAAAGATAAGATTACTTTAAATTTTGGAAATAAACAACAGTTTATTAAATATCGTCGACTGTAAGAAATGGTATTAGTGTTGACACATTGCAAACTTCTAGAAGTGCTTCTAAATAGGAAGGAGAAAATTTCTTTTAAGAATAACAATAGCATATGACTTCTACTTGCGCAAATGAAGGAGGTACGGCCGGATTCGTAGATTTTGCGACGACCTGATCCAAAGTTGGTTTTTGCCTCCGTTTCCAGCTTGATTCCTACACTCGGAAACGATGCCCAGATATGGTTCCGACCTAATGATACATCAATTTATTCCAACGCAGAGATGCACAGCGAATTCCATTGTTTCCGCAACTAGGATTCTGTCATTTTCAGCTCGGTTCTTGAGTCAAGAGCTGAAAACAAATAAAATCGTTGATTTAGCATCGTAATATGTAGCTTTCAATCGCTGGATATCGTCAGCTTCGAAAACTATTCTACAAAGTAGCAATTACCACTCGATGATCATATTCAGATTTAACTATAGAAAAGAACAATATCAAAAAAAAAAAACAATACAAATATAATTAGTAATGATTCGAATCAACTGTTATGAAAAAGCTATCAAAATGAGAGTTTTTGAATGATTATTTTCACTTAATATAACTTTTATGCAATAGACAAGACACTAATTCAAATCGTTTGAACAATTAGCGCTAATCATACGAAATTATGCAAGACAAGGAAAACCATAACAACAAAAGTTAGCCAGCACTCACTTAAATGAATCAGAGAGAGAATTAAACGATTAAATCGATTGTCTTCATTAGAAACATTTTATTGTGTTAATTGAGTTTTCTTAGTAACGAATTTCATCATGGCTATTTTTCACTTTCTTTCAAAGTTCAATCATCTGATTGATAGAAACGTAAATTTAACAACATTTTTCAGCGATAGAAAAAAACTCTTGATTCCAATATAAAACATATATATCTATTTTCAATCGTAGAAATAATTATTCGTTTTTTGAAAATTATCAATAAATTTCTCAATAATCAACATTCGAAGCTTCACACTGTATTTCAAAATTGAGTGCAAGTCAAATTCCATCTTGCTTTATAACCAAAATTCTGGAAGATACAAGTCTACGTGACAAAATTAAAGAAGTTTGTTTTTTTATAAACACATGTATATATTTTTTCCGAGAAAAAAAACCGGCTTACAAAACTTGAAATAACTTGATTTATAGAGTTCGAAAAAAAAAACAAATAAACATGTACGAACTTTTTTTTCTTTTGTTTATTGAAATAGAAGATTTTTAAAAAATTATAATTTTTAAAAATTGAATACTGTCAATCAAAAAATAATTATTCAATTTTTGAAATATAAAATTATATTTGAATAAATAACTAATCAGATCAATTTATTGTAATTGATTATTGAAAATATTCATAATAGAAAAAGAGATAATATATCATCATTGTTATTATTACTACTATCTTAACAGTCGAAGAATTTAGTTATTCATTCCTTCTTATTATTCTCATCAACAAAGAATAATATAAACAAGAGATAGTATATGAATTGCAATGAATAACAAAAAAATACATAAACATAAATATTGATAACTTCATGAGAAACTAGATTATCAGTCATAATACATACATCTGTCCGCAAAGAAGATTCCTCTGATTACTTGAATGAGTACACATTAAAAATCTTCATTTAAAACAAGTAAAAGTTATATAAAAATATATTACATTATTACAATACAATTCAATCAATACTATTGATAGTAAATTATATCAATAATCATTCTTTATTTTATTATTATTATTACTATTACATAATATTAAAACATCTGATAATATTATCATACGTCATTGATATACAACTGAATAAATAAAGCAAAAACCTCAGAGAATTATAGAAGAAAATCATTCATGCCTTTGACATTTATTATTGTTGTTGTTGTTGCTGTCGTTCACGGATCAATTTCAAGCAACGTTCACATAGTAATCCATCTGATTCAGTGATGATGCGTGTAAGATTCTTCAATTTATAATTACAATTCTTACATGTAAAACTAAATGAAATAAACATATTGATAGTAATTAGAAAATAAATAAGTTTATACCATTCATCATGATACCATCGATTATTAAATATAATCATTAAATCATCTGATGGTTTAAAACATATCTACAAAATTATTTTCTTATTTAAATCATCAATAGAAAAAATACATATATAGTAACTTACAGAACATATAGTTGATGATGATTCATGACATTTTTGACATTGAAATATAAGATGTTGAATATCTTCATCATGACTATTTGGTGAATAATAAATAGAATTAGATAAATTTTGATGACAAATATTGCAAACAAAACAAGAATTATGTATATAATGAATATTATTTAAAATTTTATCTGTTGATAAATCAATCTAGAGATAAAAACAAAAAACAAAAAAAAAATTATTTTTAATATTGTCATTGTTTATGTTAATATACATACTTGATGTTTAGTAATAAGATCACCTGGTTGAAATTGTTTTCTACATATAGAACATCGTAATGTTAAAACATTTAATAAAGCTGGATGAAAATCATTTTGTATATTTTTATAACAATTTGAACAATAAATATGATTTTCATATGGAAAAACTAATGAACCTTTAAATATTTTTTGACAATGATTACAACAAAAACAATTTAGATGAAATATACGTTCACCATAAATTAATGAAATATCATCAATTATTTTTAAACATTGAAAACAAACAGGTGCTAAACGATAATAACATGAATTACAATAAAGATTTTTCTTTTTATCATAACGTGAATATTTATAACGATAATAAAATATACCAGCAAGTGGTTGATAACAATTCGAACAAGTATAACAATGAATATGTATTATATTTTCACCATCATGTAAATATTGTTCTTCAGGTAATATTATTTCATTACATTTTTTACATCTATTTGATGAAAAACAAACAGATCAAAATGAGAATAAATAAATATATAAGATTTACTTGATAACAGTTGTTTTTGTATGATTGACAGACATTTATGTTAGTTACACACAAAAACAATGAAATGAAATACTAATTAGAATTAAACGAAAAAGAAAATCAAAAACAGAATTGCAAATAAAAAAAAACAAACAAACAAGAAATGTTACTTAAATCTATAGAATGAATTAATACATTCGAATTATAATTATTTTGATGATATCTTGTCACTAATTTTTCTAACAAATATACAAATATTTCACAGTGTTTAACGAGCTAGTGAGAATGTGTAAGTACATGAAAAGAATGATGAAACCTTATATATATATTACTCCCAATTGCCTGGAGTGATATATCGTGAAAATTGAATATACAAGAGGAGACGTGTAACAATTGATAAGAGATGTGTGAAAAAGATATCTATAAAAGTATCTTTTCTTTATACAATTTTCTAGATATGTGACATCGATGTTCTGAATTCGCATAACCAGCTGTGTAATCAAACTGTCCGCTTTTACAAGAGAAAACAAATCATTAGAGTTCAGAATAGCTAATCTCTACATAAAACATGAGAGAAAAAAAACTGTGGACATCAAGAGATTTCTTCTAACTGTATAACATTCTTGGATTGAAGTTTTCTACTATTTCACTTTCGACAAAATGTATACTCTTTCGGAATTTTTATTTAAATCAGATTGGAATTCATGATAATTAAGAAAAATTCTACAATGTCTTCAATAATAAGATTTGTTATTATATATATATATATATATATATTTTTGATAGTTATGATTTTTTGTGATAGTTTTATAATTCTATTATATTGCAAACATCATCATTGATCATTCATGCTTCATTTTTTTCGTTGCCAGTTTCGATGTCATTCAAAATAAATAAACTCAATTGTATTAATGCCAAAATCTCTCATCTCGTGCAGCATTGACAATAATAATAAGAATCTAACTATAGTTTTGTCTATCATCTTATTTACTATTCTCATACTAAGTTCTATGTCATATTCATATTTAAAATAACATTATTGTTTATATTAGATTGATCACCGAAGAAAAAAAAACCAATAAGAAGATTGAAATCTGATGCTACAAACATGAATACAATTATTGTAAATTCTACAAACTAACATCAATCTCATTATATATTTTATTATACAGAATTTTTTTTCTCTAAAGACCTTTCAATCATGTCAATTACTATCAATCGTATCGTTTCTCTGTAATTAAGTTCAACCTTCTAAGTCTTTATTATTGTTGATAGATGTCTTCAAACATAAGAAAGATAATTGAATAGAAACTATTAAACATACATATATATATGTTTATTCTAGTCAAAATTCATTATTTAAATCTGTCAAAATTTCATGGCAATATTTATCTTTAAAGAACAACGAAAAATTTTCTTACGTGTATGTGTGCACAAAATATTTATATAACAAAAAAAAAAGAAAAAAAAAACAAACAAACAATAGTAAACCAAAAGAATACACAAAAGAGAAAAAAAAATACTCGTCTTCAAAAAAAAAAAAGAAAAGAAAAAAATTTCGATTCCCTAATAAATTAAGAAATTTTCTAATTCTAAATATTTCGTTTTTTATCTATATATAAATACTTAGACGAGATTTATAAATTGTAACAATAAAATTTTCAAAGAAAAAAAAAAAAAAAAGAATAGAATATTCGACTTTGTTTTTTTTTTTTTTCAAATATGAAAATACGATGAATTTTATAAAGAGAAGAACGAAAAGAGAAATATTTTTCTATAAATGAGATAAATATTTTCCTTGATCATCATTCTGATATTCATTAGGAAAACCATCATTTTCATCGTATTTAACTAAATTCGTATGTCGTTTATCATCACGTCCATATTGTCCAATAAAAGATCCATCTTCTGTAAAACGACTTCGATCTTTTTCATCATTAAATTCTGCCATTGAATCACGATCATCACCATTATGTAATGATATATGACTTTGTTTTATTGATACATCACTAGGTCTACAAAAAAAAAAAAATTTTTGTGTTCAATTTCTTTGTCAAATATATCATATAACATACGCTCGATAATATTCAGAAAACTTTCCATCATTATCTCCATATCCACTCGGACCATGTAACATTTCTTTATCTTGAACTATAAAAGACAAAAAACACAAGCATAATTATTCATTTAATTAAATAACTATTTATTTCCTGAGGAGAAGAAAAAAAAAAAAAAAAGGAAACATTATCATTATCAATGTCAATGATAAGAACAACAACACAAGCATCGACATCCTTCAAATCTAGATAGCATGCAAGGCGCATTGCGCGTATTTCTCATCAGTTATTGCATATAATCAGTCGAGATAGAATACGAATAGGGCAAACAGAATAAGAAAAGAACAAAAAGCCGTTCTGTTCCTGAGAAAACAATAGATTTCTGATTTTTTTACTTCTGTAGACAGAATTATAGAGGGTCGATTTGCCATCTACACCAGCTAGAAGAGAGAGATAAGAAGAAAAAAAATATATATATATATATATTAAAATGCACACTTATATTTTTGATTTATCTCTAATAGAACTCATGCAATGAAAGGGAAAAGAAAATGTGTACCTGTATATGATCCTTATATTTATTTATTATAAATTAAGATACGATTAAATCAAACAAACACAAACAAAAATATCTACCTGAATATTTGCCACCTTTACGTTTCATAATACCGCAAACAATAGCAAAGACTATAATAAGTACAACTATTGCAATAATAAGACCAATGAACCAAGGTGAATTAATAACTCGAGGAGCACGATCTAAATAAAAAAAAAAAGAAAAAGAAAATAATATATTTTATATTGAATTATTTATCATCTTTTTATTATACACAATATTAATTAGTATTATAGTTCTATATAAAAATGATATTAGTAATTATTATTTTTAGTTTGATTGATTGATTTATTTATAGATTAGATTGAATAAATCTTTTAATTTTTTTTTTTTTTTTTTTTTTTTTTTTTTGATTTAAGATCAAAAACAAAAATGAATACTTACCAAGACAATCAATCGATGTACAATTTAAATTGAATGTATTGTTAGAATGAAAAGATGTCGATAAGGATCCATTTTCGATCCCGTTTGTTGGATATTGCAATGACAGACCACTCATTTGTCATCCATCAAACATATATATGTATGTATAAACCTCTGAGCAAATACGATCCATTGATTATTTAACACTTATTGGATCACAAATAACAATGTTGTCGAATGGTTGGCTATAGTTATGGTTATGTGTCTGTTAGCATTTCTTTCTTTCTTTTCTTTCTCTCATCGTTTTCCACTTCTTCTTTTATCTCATATAGAGAAATCTAGCATAGCGCATGAGTATTGTACAAGCTTGTGCTTTTTTTTTTCTCTTCCTTGCATTGATGCGATAACCCTTGACGGAAGCATTATCATATAATTTTTTCTTCTCGTTTCTTATATATATATATATATATATATATAATTTTTTGCTTCTATCCTTCTTGCTTTGATTATTCTTTCCAGTTGTCTTTTTTCGCTTTTTCCTCTATCGACTATCTCTATATCGGTCATAGTCAAGAGGCAATAATGATGATGATTTCCTATGTCACTCAATATTACATCTGATACTATCATATTTATTATTCAGCTCGAAAAATCTCAAGAGAAATTTTTCTTAAGTAAAAAAAAAAAATAAAGATATAAAAATGTACCCTTATTAAGTGTTGATACCATTTGAGGATCACTTTTAGTTTCAGCTTGAATACCATCACTGGCAACTAATATTGTTGTATATATTTTACCAGCTTCAAGTCCATTAACAAAAATAGTACGATCATTTGAAACAGTATAAGATGTTTTAAAATTAGCTTGATCATCTTAAAAAAATAAATTGATTTTATCTTTTTTTTTTTGTTTTGTACTAAAAATATAAACCTTTATCGTTTTCTTTATATTGTACAAAATATAGACTACCAGGAACAGTCATTATTGTTGGATCAAAAGAGATATTAAAAAATGTTTGTCCTCGATGAGTTACTGTAAATGTTGGTTTTGATGGAGCTAAAATAGAAAAAAGAAATAAATAATTCTTCGAAGTTAAGCTTTTTTTTTTTTTATTATTATTTACCAAGACTTAAATTTGTTGTTAGCTCAATAATAGCTGGACTTATTGATGGACCAACTGATGTTCGTGCTCGTACTTGAACACGATATTTTGTATCTGGATTAAGACTACTAAGAAGATAATTTCGACGAGTATCATCACGAAGTAATATTGAAGGTTGATCAATACCGGGTTGAGAAGCAATACTTAAAAAAAAAAAAAAAAAGAAAAATATCACATATATCATTCGTTTATCATTTGAAGATGATACCTTTCAATAGGTTTATAATCAATTTGATAACCAATTATAACACCATTTGTTTCATCTGGTGGATCCCAAAGTAGAAAAATTCCATTACTAGTATAAGGTACACCACGTAAATTAGTTACTGGTCCTGGACGACCTTCTCGTGTAGGAAATTGAATCTAAAGAAAAATAATAGGATGACTATTTTCGTTTGTTTTGAAATTTAAAACATACAACAGGACTTGTTGGTCCAAAATATCGTTCTGTTTCAATACGAATATGAGCACCAACATCAGCATTAGGTGGTGCATTAAAAACTGTTGTCCAAGTTTGATTTGGTAAAATATCAGATATCACAAGACGAGATTTTACGGGATCATCAAGTCGAAATATTTCAATCTATTGATATAAAATAAATATATATATTATCTATAATATGCAATGATAAGATGATCTAAAACCTGATAAGCTTTAAGAACGCCACGAATATTAATTTCATCAGAAGATAATGGTGGATCCCATGCAAATTGTACTGTTGTACTATCAAGCATTTGTAATACACGAAAATTACGTGGAACATATGTTGGTGCTACAACAATATATAGAGATATTAATTAAATATAATTGTAACGAGATAATTTGTTTATCGGATGTTTTTTTTTTTTTATTTGTTAATTAATAGATAAACAAGAAGATATCATTTGTTGAAATGTTTTCGATGGATATTTTTTTTATTATGTACACGCTTGGAAAAAATATTATTCCAGGGGGGTAACGCTATAATTTCAAATAGAAGACATAATGAATTTTATATCAAATGAAAGCTCGTCAAAAATGGGGTTTATTGATACTAAATAGTGAGGTTTGTAAAAACTTTCTAATGTCAAACTTAAGAAGTTTTCAGAAATTTTATATTTTTTTGGGGTGAAAAATCAAGGTGCCACTGATTCAAAAGTGAAGTCAATTTTTTTTCTTGAATATTTTTACATGGTTTCATAGACCTCGTTGAGCTCTACAAAACTGTGCATGTTAAAAAAATGTTGAGGCATCTTTTTGAGATAAAAAGTTCAAAAAACTACTCGGGAAACCTCAAAAACATTTAAAAACTCTTTTTTTTTTCAAATTGAAGAAACACGCTCTATTTTTCAATAAAAGTAGCTTTTTTCGTTGTTTTTACTACCTCAGACGTCTCGAAATATACTCGTTCGATGCAGTGTGAAAAGCTGCGTCTAATGAGTATGTTTCGAAACGCCTGACGGAGTAAAAACAATGAAAAAAGCTACTTTTATTGAAAAAGTAAGTGTTGTTCTTCCACATGAAAAATATGAATTTTTTTCATGTTTTCTAAGATTTTTCAAATAGTTTTTTAAATTTTTTATCGCAAAAAAAGTGTCTTAAAATTTTTTTAATGTATACAATTTTATAGAGCTCGTCGAGCTCTATCGAACCGTGTAAAAATATTCAAGAAAAACATTTTACTCCATTCTTGAATCACTAGTACTTTAATTTTCCATCCCAAAAAAAGTATAAAATTTCTGAAAATTTATTAAGCTCGACATTAAAAGGTTTTCATAACCCTCACTATTTAATACCAATAAACCCCATTTTTAACGAGCTTTCATTTGATATAAAATTTATTATGTCTTTTATTTGAAATTATAGCGTTATCCCCCTGGAATAATATTTTTTCCAACCGTGTAGAAAAAAAGATAAAGAAAATTTGTATTTTTCCTTTTGTTTAATAATTACCTGAATCACCGGCAAAAGCAATGTTGTACACTGGAGGTTCAATGGCACCGGTGCTATTGATTTCTAATTGAAAATCAAATATTTAGTTGAAATATCAATATAAAATTTAGGTTTTTTTTTTTTTTTGTTTTAAATCAAAGTTCTTTCATAGTACAGAAGAATATTTTGAAGATAAAGCTTGAATAGAATTATGATCATATTACAAAATAAATTATTAAGCAATTCAATAAATTGAAGAAGAATTAAAAATTTGTTTTTTTCAACGAAAAATTACCTTTCTTCATTATTGGTTACAAAAAAAGTAACTGCTTTTATGTCAAAACAAAATTTCTAATTTTAAATTATCTCTATAAAATAAATATTTACCTCCTAGTTGTTGATTGACTGCTTTAACATAATATTGATATCGCATATTCATTATTGAATTTGGTATAGGAAATTGATGTTGTGGTGGATAAATAATTTGCATTGAAAATGGTCCTGGATCAGTGCCTAAAGGAAATTGACGCCAACCAACTTCATACCAAAATGTTGGTGAACCCCTTTTTATTGCAGGCATATTCTATAATTTTTGCATAAAAAAAAATTTTTAAAAGAGAAAGACTAACAAATGAATTTGTTCTTACATCCCATTCGATTAATAATGGTACAGATTGTGTAGTAGAAGCTTTAACACCAATAGGATTTGTCTTAGGTCGACATGTTTTTGTTGTACACATTGATTCTGAAATAGGACTTGCATCACTTGCACCAACACGATTATAAGCAATAATACGAAATGTATAATTAGCCCAACATGATAATGATACACGTAAATCATTTTGATTTGATGGAATATTTGTTGTATTAAAAACTAACAAAAAACAAAATTAGTTTTTTTTTTTTTTTTTTTTTGTTCGAATATTTTATTCATTTATTACTTGCAGTTTTAGATTCTAAATTAATAGAACCTTCTGGTGATGTAACTTCATTAAAAGATTCTTTTCGTTGTTCAATAGGTACAGATATCCAATCCTTTGTTTGAAATGATGTATTATATTGTAATTCATAATAGATTATTCGTGCATTATTATCACCTAAATAAACGGAATTTCTTTTTTTTTTCTTTGTCTTGAAATTTATTGTAGAAAAAAAAAATAAAAACTGTGTCTTTTTGCTTTTTTTTTTAACCTGTTCCTTGCCATTGAACAATTGCAAATGGTTGATCATTTGATCCATTACAAATAATTTTTGTTATTTTTGGTCTATTTGGTCGATCTTGTACAATTAATGTTGCACTTGCATCATCAAAATCTAATTCTGTACTTGCACGACATACATATGAACCAGCATCATCAAATTGTACATCAACAATTTTTAATGTATTTTGATCTGTTATATCTTTAATAAAACGACCTGTATAAGTTAATAATTTACCATCTTTATACCAATTAATATCATATGTTAATGAATTATCAGCAATAGCTGTACAACGAAATATAGCTTGTGAACCTCGACGTATTTGTTGATTATTTGGTCGAGTTTGAATACGTGTTTTTTGTTTAATATTTAATGTTGTATTACGTATATCAGAACCAAATTTATTTGTTGCATTACAAATATAAATTCCATTATCTAATGATGATACATCTTGAATTGTTAAACTTCCATCTTTTGATATGGAATATCTATGAATTTCAAAAAAAAAAAAAATTTAATTAAATTTAATTATAAAAAATAAATAAATAAAAGATTTTAAAGCTTTTTTTTGTTTTTGTTAGTATAGAAAATAACAATGTTGTTAGAAGAATATAAGCGTTTGTTATTTTTTGTTTTTTGTTTTTTTTGTTCATACCGATAGTAATGCTAGATGACATAACTTATATAACGGATATTAATATATAATACCGATTGAATAATACAAAAGATAGAAAAATGTCAATTAATTACATACCTTACACCAGTAATAATTCGATTACGTTTATGCCAATAGACTTTAGGTGTTGGCACGCCATTTGTTTCACATGGTAAAATGACACTTTGTCCTTCAACAACACGATAAAGTGTATCCGGTCCACGTTGAATTTTTGGTTTTTCCGCTAATAGATATAAATAATCTAATGAAATAAATTTTTTATAAAGAATACTTACAAATAACATTAATAAAAAAATTTCCAAAAATATAACCATGTATATTAGAAACATTACATTGATAAACAGCTGTATCAGATTTTGTTATATTTTGTATAACTAGTCGATTTTTCATAATAACTCGACGTGGATTATATGGAACGCTGATATCTTGTAACGGTATGCCATTGATTAACCATTGAGTAACTTTTAGTGTTGGCTTAGCTTCTGTATGACACGTAACATCAACTGTTTCACCTTCTGTTACATGTATATCTTTTGGCTTTTCTATCCAATATGGATCAGCTTCAATTTGAACATTAATACTAAATGTATCATAACCTAATTCTTAAAATATTAAATTAAAATCAATAAAAATTTTTAATTAAAATAATTTTTTTTTTTTTTGTTTTTACCATTATGTCCTCGACATTCATATACACCTTCATCTTCATATTGAAGATCATTTATAATTAATTCTTGTTTCTCTAGAATAATACTAGAACGTCTTTCAGGTATACGACCATTTATTTTTCTCCATATAACATCTGGTGTTGGTAAACCATCAAATATACATTTTAATGATAAATTTTTTCCTTTTAAAAAAACTTTATATGCATCTGATGACCATAATTTTGTTGGTTTACGATCAATTGGATCGGATTGAATAACTTGTAATTTTGTTAATGTACCACGACGAATAACATTTAATTTACGTGAAAATGCATTACATATAAATTGTTTTTGTTCATCTTCATCTTTTACATTAAGAAAATAAAGATTTCCTATATAAAAGAATTAATAATTGTAAAACAAAAAACGTTTTTTCAAAAATTAACATGAAACAAACCATCATAATCTTGTTGTATACGTGGATTTGCAACACGAAAACCAAATTGATCACCAACATTTGCATTATCTGTCCAATAAATTTCTGGATCAGGTACACCAATTGGTGGTTTACATGGAATTTTTAATGAATCACCACGTCTTACTTGAATTATTTGAGCTCTATCATAAATAGGAAATGCACCAAGTTCTGCAAGACGTACATGAACTCGACGTGATACTGCAGTACCTAAAAATTAGAAAAAAAAAAAAAAAAAGAAATAATAAAACTTTTCAATTTCCTAGTTTTGTTTACCCCAAATATTTGTTGCATTACATTGATACCATCCTTGATCAATACTTTGTGGTTGAGTAAAAATAAGTGTACCAGAATCATTTGCCATAATAACATTATTATTTTGTGTATCTACTGTATATAATAATCCATTTTTAGTCCATGTATAAACTAGAGTTGGATCGCCTTTTGCTAAACATATTAATTCAAGATTAATACGCGGATCGAAAATTATATCCGAATCAGGTTCTTTTAATATTGTCGGTGGCATTGAAACTAATTAACAAAAAAAACTCATATATATTTAAATATGTCAAAAAGATACAAAAAAAAAAAGATTTACATGAATGTACAATGGAGAATAAAAAGAAACTATATACAAAATTTGACATGGCCATTGATTATTTGTTTTTAAATATTTAAATTAATGATTGCCACATGAACTTCTGAAATCTAAAAAGATCTATCATTTATGAACGATGAATAAATATTCTGAAACAAGTTCAAGGAAGTGCAGAGATCGGTAACTTCATGTCGCTTACCGTAAATGTGTGTTCTTTATTTTTTTTCTATCTCTAAACGCGCTTTCTTCGTCCTTCGTACTATTTCAGAGAAATCAGCAACTGATCAACTGTTCGATTGGCTCATTTTGTCAAGGTGATCTTTGTGCACGGAAAAGAAACAAAGATAGATTTCTTTTTCCCCTAGTTAATCAACGATTCTATCCTTATTTTCTTTCTATTATTTTAAACGAGTTTGCTCGTAGTTAAATCAATATTTAATCGACGATATCGACTTGCCAAAATTACTCGCTAGAAGAATATAAGCCAATTACTATTGTATTTCTTTTTAGAATTGATTGCCTAACAACTATTGCTACTCTTCATCACTATTATTTATTGAGAATGAAACCATTGACAATAAGGGAAAATAGAACATTTGTGCAAGTATTGACAGAAAAAAAAAAAAAGAGAGGAAAGAATGCTCATCTCAAGAGATTTATATGACTCTTTTCTTTCTTTCTTTCTTTCTTACACACATACATATAAACACACGATCGATGATAGATAGCCGTTGGCAATGAAGAAAAGTCGTACCACCACAGATCCATAGCTCCTGTTTGTTTGGCTAATGAAAGATGTCAACGAGCGACAGAACGAGAAAGAGAGACAAGTAGCAAAGAAAAAGTGACAGAAAAAAAACAACAACTACTAAACCTATCCGTTCTAGATAAATAACTAAAATAATTTAGCAAAGAAACATTAACATCAGTCAAATGACTTTACAAAATTAATTAAACAAGACATCAATCTTTTTTAATTAACTTAGAAACTCAATTTTAACCAATTGACTCTTATTCTTCGTATACTGACTTTCATATTTCATCAATACCGATAATCAGTTGCCTCCTATTCATCAAGACACAGGGACAAATACATTGTAATCTATTAGATATAATAGTTGTCTAATTTCCTTACTTTTCTCTATCGTATATCTTAGCGTTTGCTTATAAAAAAAAAAAAAAGCAGAATATTATTTCTTGATCAAAATATCGAGCGAGTACTAGATAAGTATTTCTCGTCTCTTAGACCACAAAAAAAAAAATGTGACACAAAATCTTGATTGGTTCCTAACTTATGTGTTGATGATTTTTAGGTAGGAATGATGTCGCTGTGATATGCTTATGATTTTATCAATTAAATATAAATGTCAATAATCATAAGATTTAGTAATAATAGTAAATAAGCTTATTGGCCTATAAATATTCGTAATTCTAGCAAAACATCTATTTTTGTCTATGTATTAAAGAATCACACCTACACTCTACATTGACATACTTAATTAATCGTTTGTGATATTATTAGGTTACTGAGTCTGATTTTTATAATGATAATTAAAAATGACTAAGAAAATTAATTTGATTTTTCAAATGTCAAATAATTTGAACATTAATGAACTTTAAAAAATTCTTCTTGAGAATCAATAATAAATATCAACAAGTCAAACAAAAAAAAAACTGATAAATTTATATAATAATTTTAATCAATATAAACGATTGACTGGAGAAAATCATAATATGATTATATTTATATATAAAATTCGATTAGTCTTCTGAAATTTTTATGCATAATTTAATCATAATAAATGTTAATATAAAAGTCATTTGAGAATTTACCTTCTTTTATAAGTAAATCAAAATTCAGATTTATTATATCATTTATTTATTAAAATAGTTTATCTAATTTTATTCAAATATAAAAAACACGACAATTTTATTTTATATAAATATCTCTCAGATACATATGCATAGTATAAAATACATTGTTAATATTAATACTAACTATCAAAAAGAAATGCACAAGCAATATATACAGAAAAAAAGAAAACCAAGGATATAATGTTCTATTGATAAAGAGAGTCAAGCTCATGATCAAATTTGAGTATATCACTCATACGTGCTATATGTAAACGATCAATATATTTATCAAGAAATTTATAATATGAATCGGAAGCTAATTGTTTCATTTGATATAACTGCCATAGTAATTTTCCATCAATATTCATAAAAGCACGTTTCAAACTAAAGCAAAAAAAAACCAAACATCATCTGTTTTTTTTTTTTTTGCTTTGATAAACTTATTCAATCAAATTACTCTGATAATCCAATCTGTTCAAGCCATTGTTGTACTGCAGTTGTATCCCAACTTGTAGTAATATGTTGTGATTGAGAAGTTGATTTTACTGGTTTATTTTGTTTAGATTCTTTTTTTATGGAAAGAAAAATACCAAAGGTTATATCAAAGTATTTTTTATTAATAGCCTTAATGAATACATACCAGTTATGGTATTTATAGTATCAATAGTAGAATATCTGGTACCATGTGGAGGATGATCTTTAATATTATCTTCATTATTACCTACTTGTCTATCATCTTGTTTTATTGTTTCAATTTCACGAATTAAAATAGAGAATGCTTCTTCAAAACTACATCAAAATAATATTTTATATATATATATATAAAGAAAGAAATTTTCTTACGGTAATGTAGCAAAATCAACATGAATTTTAGCTCCTTTAATTATTCCAAGCTAAAAACGAAACAAGCAAATAAAAAAATAATAAATTCATATTTTTAAATAATTACCCATCCATATGGTCGAAATCTTGGTTGCATTAAACATGGAATACATGGTTTTCTTAATTCTGTTGCATATTCTTTTGAGATAAAAGATAAAGAAAAAAAAATATATCTTTCAAAAGAAATATATTTCAGTTCATACCTGCTTCTAAAAGAGGAAGACATAAAGATTTATAAATTATAAGATTTAAAAATATAACTAACCGAGTCGACAATAATAACTTTGTTTGTATTGTTCATTCATACAAATAAGTATAATCGATGAATTTTCAACAGCTTCAGCCATAGATTCCAAAACTCCACCATTTATATTATCAACATCAAGCCATACATTATAGTGTAAAGCCTATTTTTATTAATATGAAAATATCAATATGAAATATAATTTACTTTTAAACGATCTCGCATTTTTAAACACATAGCTGTTACTGATCGATTATATGAAATCATAATATGACCATCTAATCCATATCCTTTACTTATTGTTGAAACTCCTATTGATAAAATTTACAAAAAAAAACAAAATGAATTCAATTTAATAAGATTTTTTTTTTTTATTTACGTCGATGTGGAATTCTATTAAGTGTCCAAAGAATTGCTTCACAATTTTTTTGAACAAGTTGACTTGGAGAATTATTACGTGCTGATGTTATTATATCAATAACATGATCAGTATCTAATAATATTTGAACTTTTTCATCAAATGATGCATTTAATATTGCATTAGATACACATTCAAGTAAATTATCTTCTTGATTTGTATTTTCAAGAATATTTAATAAAATATTAACAAGATTTTTATCAATATATTTATGTGTTCGACCACGAACCATTAATTTAGATAAACCATCAACTAATTCAATAAATGAAAATCCATAAAATCTTTGTTCATGTCCATTATATTTTCGAATCATTTCAGATAATAATGGAAGTACATCTTTAATTAAATTAAATTATTAATATTATAGATATTTTTTATTTTATTTTACCTGATGTATTTGCTGCTAAAATATTATCTTCATCTTCATTCATTATTAATGGAAGTAATAAACATGATGTTACACGAATAGCACTAATAACATCTTGTAATTCTTTTATACTAGTTATACAATCTTGATTTACATCGGTTTCAGGAAATTGAATTAGAATTGTATCCGATGATAATTTTGTATATTCGGCTATTATCTGTACAAAAAATCGAAACAGTTTTATTAATAATCAGATTTGATATAAAGATAGTATTAAAAAAGATTTCTAAATACTTTTATGAAATTGATACTTAAGTACATTGGTCATAGGATGAACAGACTATAGTAACGACAGAAGAAAGAGTCGATGCAGTGGAAATTTTTTTTTTTTCAATAGCGTTGAGAATTATGACAGAACTCATAAGAGAACGATTTCAACTGATCAATCGCTTTTGAATTCGAACTCTGTGCATAAGATACTAGAATTCTATCCCCTGATATGGTCTATACTAACGAATCAAACGATGAGATTTCAATCGGAGACGATACCTAGAGACAGGTCTATTTGTTCGTAGAATACCATGAAAATTTCAATTCGAATGAATGTTTCTTTCTCGAAATACTTCAGTCCTAAAAATCAGTCATATTTCATGTAACTATACGAGGATTTTTCTGTTTTTTTTGTTTGTGGAGCTTTAATATTTCGAGAAGGATATATTCCGTTGCGCTGAAATTTTCAGAGCATTCTATTGACAAACCGACCTGTGTGTGGGCAAAATCTCAGATTGAAATTCCATCATTCGATTTGTTTGTATATATCATGTCAGAGACTAAAATGCTAGTCAAATGTCTATAACTCTAGACAGAGAAGGTCTAAGAGAACTTACTTTTTGAAGTTTTTTTCATATCTCGCTGAAGTCTACCTCATACATAGAGTACGACTTTAAAAGCAATTGATCAGTTGAAAACATTTCCTAATCAATAAGTTATTCAACAAAATTAGATATCTTTACATTTCGACTATGAAATGTATTCAGTTTCTAGACAGATTTTTCCTTAATATGTCAGTTCAAATAAATGATTATTTTTAGTGAATTTCATATTCATTGAACTTAGCATCTCTCAAATTCTTTAAATAGTAACATATGAGAAACAATATCTGCAAGATATCTATTAAAGATCAGATTATTTTGAAAACAGCTAGTGTAAATAAGATTATGCGAAACAAAACTCTAAAGACAATCGAATAAAATGATAGAATGTTCACGTGTATAACTTCGATTGTTCAAG